ACTAAATATCTTCTGACTTTGAAAGACTAATTGTACCTTAATTTTGAAAAATATAACTATGTCAGCTTTAATGAAAAATTTTGGCCAGATGTGGTGGCTCATTCCTGTAATCCCAGCACTTCGGGAGCCCGAGGTGGGTGGGTCACAAGATCAAGAGATCAAGATGATCCTAGCTAACAAAGTGAAACGCTGTCTCTACTAAAAATACAAAAATTAGCTGGGCCACGTGGTGGCACCCGCCTGTAGTCCCAGCTACTCGGGAGGCTGAGGCAGGAGAATCGCTTGAACCCGGGAGGCAGAGGTTGCAGTGAGCCAAGACTGCACCACTGCAATCTAGCCTGGCAACAGAGCAAGACTCCATCTGAAAAAAATAATAATAAATAAAAAAAGAATTTTACCATCTGTAGTATTTGGCAAAATACCAGAACAGTTTCAGACACTAAGAACAGAAATAACCTTTTTAGTTCTAAGAATTCTTCTCACAGACTCACCCAAAGTCCTACTCTCAAGAATCAGTCCTTCAGTTTCTCAAGCCAAAAATGATCGAGTTATCACCTCTATCAGATAATTCTTCCTAAAATTGTCTTCAAATTGGTCATTTGCACCTCAGAAATATACAGTGAATTAATATGTCCAGCATCATATCCAAACTCCTATAGTCCTAGACACCATTCAAAGTCTTTGACTGCAGCTTTCATTTCAAATATTTTTATTTTACCCTACCAGGAGCCCTCTACACCAGCAAGGCCAGTCTCTCTACAGATGCTAAATTTACTCTTCCTCTGAGCCTTTTGCTCCTCCATAACTCTTGGCCTTGCCTTCCAAGACTCCTTTATTTCCAGGTATTATTACATCTATCCTTAAGAGTTGGATAATTTCTTTTTGCTCTACGTTCTTAGAATACAATGTCAGGTACTTCATCAGGCTTCTATTTACTAAGGAAGAAATCTCATCATATACATACATACATATATATATATATATATATATACACACACACATATACACACATTTATGACATATCGTGACCAAGCAGAATTTCAGGAATGAAACACTAGGTAACACCAAAATTCAGACAATTTAATTATCTATTAAAAGAATGAAGAGAAAAACAAAATGACCATTTCAACCAATGCAGAAAATGGATATGACAAAATACTACTTCCTTTTGTGATGAAAACTCACATTACACTAGGAATATGAGGGAATGTCCTTATTCTGATAACAGGGATCCACAAACAATTTTTTTGGCGGTGGGGTTGAGTGGGGACAGAATCTGGCTCCCAAGCTGGAGTGCAGTGGTGGGATCACAGCTCACTGCAGCCTTAACCTCCTGAGCTCAAGCAATTCTCTTACCTCAGCCTCTGAAGTAGCTGGGACTACAGATATGCACCACTATGCCTGGCTAATTTTGTTTCTGTTGTTGTTGCACAAGCTGGTCTCGAACTCCTGGGCTCAAGCAATTCTCTTGCTTTGGCCTCCCAAAGTGCTAGGATGACAGGTGTGAGGCCACCATGCCCAGCCTGCGAAGAAATTAAAGCTAACATAATATTAAATAAAGAAATACTTATCATTTCTATTCAACACTGTACTGGCCTGTACTATATAGTGCTAGAATGTAAGAAAAATAAAATGTATTATGATTGGAAAAGAGAAACAGAATGGAAATTATTTAGATGATTGTGTATGCAGAATGTTCAAAAGAATCTACAAATGAGCTATTCGAAATCAGATAATTTAATTAGGCTGCTGGACACAAAGTCAACATACAAAAACCAACTGTACTAATATACCAGCAACAAACAGGAATGAAGTTTTAAAATACAATTTGCAATAATAGAGTCATGCCTGTATATCTGCAATAATACACGTTATGCCACCTTGCCACTGCACAAGCTTTTCCCCAATTTGGAATGCTTTTCCATCTACCTCCACATGCCTGCTGAACTCTGACATTTATTTCCAGTCTCTTCAAATTTACCACTTTTTAAAAAATATTTTCTCTCCCTCCCTGAGTACTTTTCAAACTTTAATTCACCAGCAAATTTTTCCTTATAATTACAAAAAATAGTAACTATCAAATATATAAAAGTGATAAACATGGAGCTTTCTTATTGAAACAAGGGTAGGAAATAAACTCAGAGCCTTGACTTCCCAAAAAATCTCCAGGGAAAGATTGAAACTCATTAATTTGATTATTAACATTATTACTGGAGAGGCAGTCTGGTTCTGCTGCCCAGGCCGTAGTATAGTGGTGCGATCTCGGTTTACTGCAACCTCTGCCTCCTGGGTTCAAGCGATTCTCGTGTCTCAGCCTCCCTAGTAGCTGGGACTACAGGTGTGCACCACCATGCCCAGCTAATTTTTTGTATTTCAGTAGAGAAGGGGTTTCACTGTGTTGCTCAGGCTGGTCTTGAACTCCTGAGCTCAGGCAATCTACCTCGGCCTCCCCAAGTGCTAGGATTACAGGCGTAAGCGACCACGTCCAGCCAGATTATTAAGCACCCAAATATCCAAATTGCTATTCTTAGCAACAACTTAAAAGATGGAAGTCTTTCTCCTACCTTACAGAAAATGAGTCAGCAGGCAGAAATTCCTTCCCCTCCAAATCAAACAAACTTACCTGTATTCCCATCTTTATGTGGGCTTTTCCCCCACCTGAAGTTAGTTTAATTCCTCCACCTGTGCTATGACTCAAACGTCTTTCAGAAAATTTGTTCCTCCCAGCGATGTCATCTTTAATCCACTCTCAACATGTGTGTATATTAAAACATTAAAATAGAAATGCTCCCTAAGTCATTCTTCCCTTCAATTACACTTGAAATACTGTAAGAGCCTACTTGTGCACTCTACTTCAGTGAAATTTCTCTTGCCAAAGTCTGCAGTATCTTATTTATCAATTTACCCTTATGACTTGATTTATAGCACCTGACACTACTGCCATCTGAGATTCATTTATCCCTTGGGATCAGTGACATCACTCTTCTGCCTTTTCTCCTACATAAAGGGCCATTCCTTTTCATCTTTGCACAACTGCTTCATTAACTTCTTGTATACTGACGTTTTCCTGGGCTGTATCCATGATCCCTTTCTTATTCTAATCTATACATTCTCATGGCCAATTTATATGTGCCATGCTTTTCGCTACTAACTATATCTTAATTACTCCTAAGCCATCCAGTTTACACTGCCCTTTTAGATTTGGATGACTAATTTTTTTTTTTTTTTTTGAGACAGTCTTGCTGTCATCCAGGCTGAAGTGCAGTGGCATGATCTCGGCTTACTGCAACCTCTGCCGCCCAGCTTCAAGCAATTCTGTCTCAGCCTCCTGAGTAGTTGGGACTACATGCACCCACGCCTGGCTAATTTTTGTATTTTTAGTAAAGACAGGGTTTCACCATATTGATGAGGCTGGTCTCGAACTCCTGACCTCAGATGACCCACCCGCCTTGGCCTCCCAAAGTGCTGGGATTACAGGCATAAGCCACCGTGCCTGGCCTCGATGACTAATTTGACATGTATAAAAATCAAACTGTTTACCCCTACATTGCCTACAAGGCATATCACACCACCATCCATCAAGGTAACTAAGAAACCTAGCAGTTAATCTACCCTGTGTGTCAATCACTTTCCCCAATTATTTGACTGCAAAAACTATGCCCTATCTATTCTTACTACGTTAGTATTTGCAACATGTTTTTCACTGACTACCCTTGCTTGAGCTTAGAGCCTCCTTCAACAATCATTGGAGGTTGAATTCTAGGCTTCAGTCTGTCTGTTCAGCTGTCTTCAATCTCCTAACTTCATCCTCTATACATTGATACAATAGTTTCCATTACTTAAAATCGTTACTTGGTACCCTAAATTTCAGAATAAAAGTCAAATTCCTTAGTTTGGCAAGTAAGACCTTTTGTTACCTAAGCGTATCTTTTTTCATTACTTTCTATAGATTCTCCACAAATATAACATGCTGTCACCCACCCACCTACACCTTTGTCTACGTGGTTCCCTCTATTTAGAATCTCACTTTATGAAGAATATCTATTATTCTTTCAAAGCTGGGCTCAGGAATTGTGGTCTCTGGGATACTATTGCTGGTCTCTCCTGGGTTAGTCTCCCTTCCTTATTTCTGCATCCCAAGCACATCTCTCCATTTGTATTCTGCAACACAGTATCATAGCTTACCTATTTATCTGTGAAAACCTCTTTAACACATTATAATTTGTTTACTCCTTTTAATCTCTTCTCCACCCAAACAATTCATGACTTCTTTAAGGTAAGTTCTGTTTCTTTCGTCTATGCAATTTCTAGAGCTCAGGATAGTATCTGGCGCAAACTCAGGCTTAAACATACATACTGAGTAAACCAGTTTTAAAATTTACAATTATTTTTAAAAAATTTCCTTTGCGGTCTGAAACTTTTAAAAACTAGAAAACTCCATAAGGAACACAATCTTTTATTTCATAAACTGGTAACTTTTGAAGACTGTCACAGGTGATAGGCTCTTTAAACAGGTAGGATTTCATCTGCAGCCAACTAAAAAATATTAATAGCTTTAGCCTTGAAGTGATTGTCTAAACAAACAAAATGCTTCAATCTAAATCATCTAACATTATTGTTCAGAGCATAGCAAGTATGGTTTCATAATAAATATGACCTCAAGACAATAAAGAAAAATTTCTGAAAACTAAACTAGGAAATGTGTAAAAAATATGGGAGGCTATTTAGATGTTTGGAAATAAATAGAACAACAACAGTTTCTCTTTTTTAATAAAAGCCATGCACAAAGTTTGACACTAGGTCAGGAAAAGGTAAATTCCAGACACTGAGAGGTAGTTCAGTTAGTTTTTATCTCTTATTTGGTCCTTTGCTCTAATATTGCATATATATATACACATACACATCCACACGCAATATTCCAAAAATGTTTATGAATTATTGCAGTATTTGCAATAGTTGCACCTAGTGGCTATGAAATATTTTACAGTATTATTTTTCCCCAGGGGAAAGCATGAATGCAGTCCCCCACTATCACAGATTATGCAGTTGGGTTTCCCACATTTGGGGAAATCACAGGGGTCAACACATCTCGAGTACAATGGATAAGCCTTGCTCTGAAAAACCACCTTTGTGATCATGTTATCTCCTCTGCCAGGTAAGCATATGTTGCATGCATGTGTGTGTGTGTGTAATTTTTTTTCTTTTTTTTTTTTGAGACAGAGTTTTGCTCTGTTGCCCAAGCTGGAGTGCAGTGGCACAATCACAGCTCACTGAAACCTCTGCCTCCTGGGTTCAAGCGATTCTGTCTCAGCCCCCTGAGTAGCTGAGATTACAGGCATGTGCCACCACACCCAGCTAATTTTTGTATTTTTAATGGAGATGGGGTTTTTACCATGTTGGCCAGGCTGGTCTCGAACTCCTACCCTCAGGTGATCTGCCCACCTCAGCCTCCCAAAGTGATGGGATGACAGGCGTGAGCCACTGTGCCTGGCCTATTGCATATATTTTTAAGATCAATTATTTTGTTTGCTATTAAAATGTTTGCTGTAATAAATATGCTTATTTTTATACAATAGCTTATACAGTTGTTTTTCTAATGAAAACTCCAGCACCTCAGCACAGAGTTTTCTCATCCTTGCATATCATAGATAGCATATAATGCTAATAAAGAGATTTTAAAAACATACCTTTTATCTTACAAATGGCCAACTTCAACATCTGCAACAGTGAATTGTCTTGGGATATTTTTTAAAGTGGGTGACTAGTATGAAAGCTTTCCCTATATGTATTACGTAGCTCAAGTTTTGAGATACTAAAAGTTTTCTCTATTTCATTCTCAAGGATGTATTCTCTGATAAGTTTTGGTTTAAGGCTTTCACACATGCAAATCAGCTTTTAAGGAGTCCTCTTCAATGTGAATTTTATAATGATTAGTGAGGGATGACCTCTGGCTAAAGAGTTTTCCACATGCATTACATTCATAGGGTTTCTCTCCAGTGTGAATTCTTTGATGTGCAATAAGTGATGAGCTTTGTCTAAAAGTTTTTCCACATGTATTACATTTAAAGGGTTTTTCTCCTGTATGAATCCTCTGATGCTGTATAAGAGCTGCACTTTGGCCAAAAGACATCCCACATTCTAAACATCGATATGGTTTCTCTCCAGTATGAATTCTCTGGTGATTACTAAGGGATGAGTTACACCTGAATGTTTTGTCACACTCGTTACACTTATAGGGTCTTTCTCCAGTATGCATTCTCTGATGTTGAATGAGAGCTGAACTCTGTCTGAAGGCTTTTCCACATACTTTACATTTACATGGTTTCTCTCCAGTATGAATTCGTTCATGAATAATAAGCGTTGAGTGGGAACTTAAGGCTTTACCACATTCATTACAATTATACAATTTCTCTCCAGTATGAATTATTCGGTGTCTATTAAGTCGTGAAATAGAAGTGAAGCCTTTCCCACATTCATTGCATCTATAGGGCTTTTCTCCAGTGTGAATTCTTTCATGTTGAATAAGAGATGCACTCTGACTGAAGGCTCTCCCACATTCACTACATTTAAAAGGTTTCTCTCCAGTGTGAATTCTCTGATGATAACGAAGGGATGAGCTAGACTTAAAGGTGTTGCCACATTCATTACATAAGTAGGACTTTTTTCTGAGATGAACTTTCTGACATCCAGAAAGGGATGTGCTGTAACTGGATGGCTTCCTACCTGGATTATATCTATGGGGATTTTCTCGAGCGTGGATTTTTTGATGTATAAAAAGGCCAGACCTTCGACTGAAGGATTTACCACATTCTTTACATCTATAGCATTTCTCCACAGTATGGGTTCTTAGATGCTTACAAAGGGATGCACTATGGCTGAAGGCTTTCCCACATTCTTTACATAAGTAGGGTTTCTCTCCTGTATGAGTTCTTTGATGTTGAATAAGAGCAGAACTTTGGCTGAAGGCTTTTACACATTCTTTACATTTAAATAATTTTTCTCCAGTGTGGTTTTTCTGATGTTTACGAAGAGATGAATTGTGAATGAAGGCTTTTTCACATGTATTGCATTTATAGCGTTTCTCTGCTGTCTTGATTTTTGATTGGTTAAGTAAATTTGAATTCTGCTTGAAACTATTTCTTTGTATTTCACAATTTGACAGAGTTTTCTCTCTAGCAAATCTCTGTTGCTTGATGAACACTGATTCTACGTAGAAGTTTTGACCAAATTCAACATTTTTATGGCTTCTGTCTACAGTGAGGATTTTTGTATGGGTAATTGAAATTATTTGTAAATTTTCATTTTTGTCTTGCTGTTTATTTAATTTCTCTTCATATATGCAGGGTCTTTCTGATATGAAGTTCCAGGGTTCATCCCTTTTCAGTCTTTTCCTCATCAGCTCCTGAAATGAATCCTGAGTTTGAGTTGTCTTTGTCATTTTAGGATTGCTCTTACATCCTGAAAAACAAAAAAAGAAAGCAATTGCCAATGATTCATGTGACTGGCTGAGACTAAATGTGTAGAAGGAAGATTAATGATATCTCAAGGAGGGTTTGCTTTATGACTAAAAGACAGTAAGAAGACAAAATTTTTTAAAACACTACATAAAATAATGGATGACAGCTGAACTGGCAAGTGAACAAAAAAATAAAGCAAACTCATTTTAGGTGGGTGAGTGTGTAAAAGTGACCAAGAGAATGGAGTGAAGGGATTAGAGAAGGAGGAGGCATATAAATTTAGGAAATATAGTTTGGTACCCAAAGCCTCTGATGGGCTCATAAATTACCCCATTCCTATGATTATGTATACTCCCCTGAATGTCTTCCCTCCTTTTCCTACATTCCAATCTCCTTTGTATCCTTCAGATTCAGTTCAAATGTTAACTCCTCTGTGTACCTTTTCCTAACAATTCACACCTCTTATTATAGCACTTATTACAGTACATTAAATGCATATAAGAAAGAAATAATATACAACTAGAGATGCTGAGAAAATCTTCAACAAAATTCAGCACCATTGACAATAAAAACACTCAAACAAAAATGAACTGAGGGATACTTCCTCAACATGATAAAATACATAGACCTTTTTCCTAAAGCTACTATCTTATTAAATATACTAAAGGTATTTCCACTATGCTCAAGAACAAGACAAAGACATCCATTACTTTCCCTACAATTTAACACTGTATTAGACATATTAACCAATGCAATCAGATAACATAAATCAATTAGGGATGAGTTAAGAGAAAGTAAAACTACCTCTATTTGCTGACAATATAATATTAAAAAGTGCAGAGAATGAATGATAAAAATCATTCAGTGAAGTAATTGGATATAAAATTGACACATTAAAATCAATAACCTTTGTTTACACAAAGGATCAGAATAGTAAATATACAAGTCGTATGAAAAGCCTACATGAGGGAAATTTTATACCAGTCTTAAATGACATTAAAGTATATCTGATGGATGACATTAAAGTATATCTGAAGAAATAATCACCTCTCCTATTCCGGTATGTAACCACATTATAAAAATGTCACTGCATTAAGACAGGATATAGATAGGATTTCTCAATCTCAGATTACATTTTGGGCTAGATAATTTAGTTGTGTGGATAGTGTGGGCTGCCCTGTGTACTGTGGAATGTTTAGCAGCATACTTGATATCTCCACCCAACAGATATCAGTAGCACCTCCCCCTCACAACTCCTCCCTCCAGGACACGACAGGCAAAATTGTTTCAAGACACTGACAAATGACAGAATCACTCCTGGTAGATAATCATTGGAATAGATGAACGCAAAAATGATCATGAATTGATAGCTGCTGAAACTGGATGATGGGCTGGGTAATCCCAGCAATCTGGGAGGCCAAGACAACAGGATCCCTTGATCCCAGGAGTTCGAGATCAGCCTGGGCAATATAGTGAGATCCTGTCTCTAAAACAAACTAACTAACTAACTTAGCTGGGCATGGTGGCACTCCTCTGAAGTCCTAGCTACACAAAAGGCTGAGGCAGGAGGATCACTTGAGCCAAGGAGGCTACAATGAGCCATGATTACATAACTGCAATCTAGCCTGGGTGACAGTGAGAGATCCTGTCAAGATAGACAAACAGAAAGAAGGACGAAGGATGGAAGGAAGGAGAGGGAGGGAGGGAGGGAGGGAAAAGAAAAGAAGGAAGGATAAAGACAGAAAGAGAAAGAGAGAAAGAGAAAGCGAGAGAAAGGAAGGGAGGAAGGGAGGAAGGGAGAGGAATGGAGGAAGGGAGAGGAAGGGAGGGAGGAAGGGAGAAAGGGAGAGAAAGGGAGAGGAAGGGAGGAAGGGAGAGGAATGGAGGAAGGGAGAGGAAGGGAGGGGAGAGGAGGGAAGGGGAGGGATGAGACGAGACAAGCCAGAAAAGAAATTGGACGACAAATGGGAAATTATATTATTCTCTCTATTTTTATATATGCTCAAACTTTTCCACAACAAAACTAAAAATGAAGGTTTCTTCTACCTTCTGTCTTTCCTTGTAACAGGAGTGAATGGGTTAACCTTTTTCCTCTTATAGACCATACCTACTAAGAGACTTGCAATTTAAAAACTGGTTTCTGCAAACAAATCAGCACACAGGCTGGGCGCAGTGGCTCCTGCCTGTAATCCTAGCACTTTGGGAAGCCATGGCAGGTGGATCACCTGAGGTCAGGAGTTTGAGACCAGCCTGGTCAACATGGTGAAACCCCATCTCTACTAAAAACAAAAATTAGCCAGGAGTAGTGATGCATGCCTGTAAACCCAGCTACTCAGGAGGCTGAAACAGAAGAATAGTTTGAACCTGGGAGACAGAGGCTGAAGTGAGCCGAAATGGCGCCACTGCACTGCACTCCAGCCTAGGCAACAGAGCGAGACTCCATCAAAAAAAAAAAAAAAAAAAGAAGTCAGCACACAGAGGACGAGGTCCTAAAAATATATTTCCTTTAAAAACAAACTTTCGGCCAGAGTGGTGGTTCACACCAGCACTTTGGGAGGTTAAGGCAGGTGATCACTTGAGGTCAGCAGTTCGAGACCAGTCTGACCAACATGGTGAAACCCTATTTCTACTAAAAATACAAAATTAGCGAGTGTGGTGGTGCATGCCTATAATCCCACCAGCTACTTGGCAGGCTGAGGCAGGAGAATCACTTGAACCTGGGAGGCAGAGGTTGCAGTGATCCAAGATCGCATTATTGCACTCCAGCCTGGGTGACAAGAGCAAAAACTCCATCTCAAAAAAAAAAAAAAAATACTTTCTAAGTGGAAAATTTAAATACTTATCAAATGACAAAATATATGTTTATTTATTTTCAGAGTACTTCGTAACTGTGACTTTTATGCAAGACCTCACCTTCAGCATACCTCAACCAACAGACATCAGTAGCACCTCCCCCTTAAAACTCCAGATGGTGGCATACTACATACTACCTACATACTTGAAGACAGAGAATGCCAAAAGTGTGAAATAAATGTGAGGTAAAAGAAAAAGTGGATGTCAGGGAAGATGGTAGAGTAGGAAGCAGCAAGGTTCTATCTATCCACCTAGACAAGTGAGCTGTCAGAATCTGTCTGATGCAACTATTTTGAAACTCTGGAAACTATTTGAAGGCTTGCAGCTTCTAGGGGAAGGCCTGGCCAGTAAAGTGAAATTAATTTCAGTTGGCAGCAGCTACCCATGTCTAATCCCTTAAACTCAGGGCTTGCAGCTGTACTAGCCTCCCTAGAGTGGCCTTTGGTGGCCAAAGTGGCAATAAACACCTTGCTCTTCAAATAATGGGGATCTTGGGTTCAGACTGCAAATTATCGCTGTGAATCACAGAGGTGCAGACACAAATGCAGGCTGGCATTTCTGCAATCCCCACTGACCTGATGTGCTTCCAGAGGATTTAAGGAACCGTGCCTACTATTTTCCCCTTCTGTTCTTCCTTTTCCTGCTTTGGGGAATCAGACATTTAAGGATAAGGATATTTGGCGCAGTGGCTCACGCCTGTAATCCCAGCACTTTAGGGGGCTGAGCTAAGTAGGCAGGTCGCTTGAAGTCAGCAGTTCAAGACCAAGCCTGGCCAACATGGAGAAACCCCAGCTCTATTAAAAATACAAAAATTAGCCTGGTGTGGTGGCAGGCACCTGTAATCCCAGCTACTTGGGAGGCTGAGACAGAAGAAACACTTGAACCTGGGAGGCGGAGGTTGCAGTGAATCAACAAGATGCCACTGCACTCCAGCCTGGGTGACAGAGTGAGACTCCATCTCAAAAACAAAACAAAATAAAAGTAAAGCAAATGCGCACATGGGGATTTTAGAAAGTCACTGCACAAGGCCAGGGAAGACGTGAGCTCAGAAAAAAATATGAGAAGATCTTCAGTTTATATATACCTTAGGCTAATTCCTGGACTAGTGACACCCTACAACAATAAGAAAACAAAACCAACAACCAGCAAATCTTACAGAAGTGAGAGAATCTGATCCCCAGAGTTATAACACTGTAAGACAATAATAATAATAACAACAAGGAATAAAAAAAATAAAAAACTAGGCCAGGTACGGTGGCTCACACCTGTAATCCCAGCACTTTGGGAGACCAAGGCGGGTGGGTCATGAGGTCAGGAGTTCGAGACCAGCCTGGCCAATATGGTGAAACCCTGTCTCTAAAATTAGCTGGGCGTGGTGGCACACACCTGTAGTCCCAGCTACTCGGGAGGCTGAGACGGAAGAAGCACTTGAACCCAGGAGGCAGAGGTTGCAGTGAGCCAAGATCGTGCCACTGCACTCCAGCCTGGGTGGCAGTGTGAGACTCTGTCTCCAAAAAAATTAAAAAAGGAAAGTATGGTTCAGTCAGTGGAACAAAATAAATAGAAAACATCTATGAATAAGACCAGATGGTGGCATACTATACAAAGACAACTATCATAAAGATACAGAGAGAGCTAAAGGAAAATATGAATGAGTCATGAAAATGACGAACAAATGGAAGTATCAATAAAAAGAAAACAAAACGAAACCAAGAAGAAATTCTAGGATTTCAAAGTATAATAACTGAAATGAAAATTTCACCAGAGAAATTCAAAAGGTGTAAGCAGGCCATAAGAAAAATCAGCAAACTTTTTAAAGATACGACAATTAAAATTACTTGAGTCTAAGAAAAAAAAAAAAAAGAACATATTTAAAAAGTGAACAGAACTTAAGGGACATGCAGGATGCCAAAAAGCAGGCCAAAATATGCATCATCCTGGGACCCTGGCATGGCCACACCAGCCCTGCCTAGGCTCTCAGGCCAGTAGCAGCTCTGTACTTCCCTGGGACAGAGCTCCCAAAGGGAGAGGGGCAAGCTGTCATTTCTGCTGTGCCACAGCCCTCATTGCTATTGACCTCAGGCTCCAGAGGGTACACAGTGATTAGCGACTGGAGCAGAACCCCAGCAGAGCACAGCCGCCCCACAA